ATTTTATTTCATCTAAGTTATTTTAGAGGCAATCATTGATATTATCTATCGGCTCCAGCAAAATGTGATAGTGATAGACAGACATACCTTAACTTAGGCCAGTGGTTCGAAAGTTTGGTCCTCGGCCCAGCAGCATCACCACCATGTGGGGATTTACGATGGGTGTAAAACCTTGGGTCTATTATAGGACCTGCTGAATAAGAAACTTTAGAAATAATTCTGAACAACCCTTGTTCTAACAAGTCCTCCACATGATTTGGTTGCATGGTGAGGTTTGAGAGGCACTGGTTTAGATAATCAGATACTTTTTTGGGTAGCATTTCTTTGTTCCCCTCTTTTTTTTAACATTGAATTAGTTTTGGCTCTCCATGTTATTGTTGCCTTCCTTCTACTTTCTTTTTGTTTATCTTTTCTTTCTTTTTACTTTCTTCTACTTTCTGTGTGTCTTTCTTAGGTGTACACTTAAATTTTAGTCTTTATTCCTTTCTAAAATAAGGATCTAAGTCTTTAAATTTTCATGAATTATTGCTTTTGCTGTATTCCTACAGGTTTCCAAATATGGTGTTTGTATTATTCATTTATAAATATTTTTAATTTCCACTCTATCTTCTTTGACCCATTTTCAGAAGTTTTTCTTCAATTTCCTTGTACAGGACTTTATATCCTTTTGTTATTTCATTGTCTTGTGTTTAACAAATGTGGTTTGTATAATATTTCTATAAAATGTGAAGACTTGCTTTATGTTACTTTTTGGAAGAACTCAACTGGACCTTGAAAAGAATGTAAATGTTCTAATTATTGGATCAATTTTAGATATGTCCAATAAATCAGGCTTGTTTGTTGTGTTGTTCTAATTCTTATTTAGCTAAGGTTGTTATTGGGGTTTTGTTGTTATTGCTGATTACTTGTCTTGTTTCTTGCTTGAGATAGATATGGTGAACTCCTTCCCCTCCACATACACATTTTATGATGGTAATTTGAGATCTTCCTGCAGTTCTGGCAATATTTGCTATATTATTATTATTATTACTATTATTATTATTACTATTATTATTATTTTCAGGCATATAAGTTTTGAAATGTAGTATTTGTTGCCAGACTGAAACTTTTAATCATCATATTGTGATATATTCTTAATAATGCTGTGGTCAGAGAATTTTTTGTCTGAAAAGATAGCTACTCCAGCTATCTTTTGCTTATTAGTTTCCTGGAATTCTTTTTCCATATGTAAAAGTACGTTAAAATTTATGTTAAAAATTAAAAAAAAAAGTGAAACCCTGGGACTCAATGAATTAAGTAATTAAATCCTTTGTGTCAGATAAATGATAAGAGTTTAGGAAACACCCAAGTTCAGAGACTAGGGTATGTCTTCATTGTGCTATTATGCTTGTATCAGCATAAAGCTATAAATTAATCATTTGTATTTTACTCACTGTGAAAGAAGCCATGTAAATCGAAAGGGTTGGAAGAGAATGAAGTCTTGAAACTGACAATACAAAGATAAGAATTTGCTTAGAAAGTGTTAACTTCTTATTTCTACTGTTATGTTTTTGTAAATATTTTCATGAGAACAAGACTCCCTGTTTCAAACCAAACCTTGAAATAAAACAGGTGAAAGCAGGGGGGGCTCTGAAACCACACAAGGTATCCGGCCCTTCCGTGGCTCTGCAGTTGTCATGAGACAATTTTGCAAAGCCAGAGGGCTCCAGGGACTTAATTTGAAGACCTTCGCCTACACGAATGTAACCTGCTGGCCATGGCTGAGAAAGGCTTTGCTTATTGGAAAAGGGTGTGGGGACACCGACTAGTTAGTTAGGTAATACTTCTCTGGTTCTGGGTTGCCTGAATATAAATAATCTTTCACTGAAATGTTGATTCAAATATTAGAGTTTGACCTGAGTTTATAGTTCTCACATGATCAGTACATTGTATTACGCTTTTTAAATTTTTTTGTATCAGTCTCATCTGAGATTGGTTACTCTGAGCCCATCCCCGAAAGACTAATTACTCTTGTGTTTGCTGTGGGATTACAGTTTTTAAAAAGACACCAAAGCCAGCCTCAGTGCCAGTGGAGCTGAGGCTACATCATGGCCATAGAAACCTCAGCAGGTTTGCAACAGTCTGTGGTACCTTGCTCATAATTAGCACTCCTTTACTGATTGAAATGATGGGGCTGGGATCAGCCATAGGTAATCTTTTATGTTGTCCTTAATATTGCTTACAAGTTCCCTGAAAGGATGATTATGTCTCCAGTAGAAAAAAACAGATTTGCATTACCCTTGTCCATCAACATTTTTCATCTTTAAAAACTTCTTTTTAAATTACAAACCTATTAATTCTGCCCTGATGTTGTTTCAAGACCACACATTTGTAAAATATTAAGTCTGGTGAAGCATCAGTTTGTAAAATAGTGGTCATAACTCTGAAGACCCTGCTTCTAGTATACATGAAATTAAAATGCTATAACTAAGCTATTTCCATACTCTAAGCAAGTCCATCCTTTTATATATGTTGCCTTAAGTTTTCAAAATACTCAATTTAGGATTGTTTATTAATGTGTAGTCTTGGTTCCCTGAACTGTGAAATAAATTACATTTGTCTTTGTTATCCCATGAGCAGACATTTGGCTTTTCAATATTTATCAGGGTTTCTCAGTTGTGTGTCCTTTCATTCTAATTTGTTGTACCTAATTTGTTGTATCTCGATGGTTGCATATATAAAAATAGAAATAAAAAGCCAAGAAATGTTCCACTTTAAAAAAAATATTCAGTTGAAATTTCCTCTTGGTTTAAATATATTTTAATTTTACATCTCCTTTAATAATCTAATGACTAAATCATTTGTATGTTTTATTTATAAAAAGCTTTGCTTATATTATTGCCTGCAAATAGAACATAGCTGACAAATGTTGGCTGTTGAACTGTGTAGTAATTGAGAAAAATTCAGAGATATTCTTGCTCTCCTATTACCCACAGGTATCATGTTGGCATATGAACAGAGAAGAGTAGAATGGACTAAAAATATTAAAAATTTCAAATAATTGTTGTCTATTATAAGAGACAATAAATTTCTACATAATTTTTCAATCTTTGGATTTGGTACTTTCCCTAGAGTAGTAGGTACTCTAGAGTAGAGTAGAGTAGTACCTACTGCTCTAGGGAAAGTATTCTACTCTTTTATGTAGAATAAGAACTTAGGTATTGGTTTTGAAATAGGTTGATGTCCATCATCATCATCATCATCATCATCATCAAAGAACACTAACCTGTGAAATAATCTGAATTCTCTTCTAGATCTACTGCTATCATGATGCACGATGATAAACAGATAATATCTTTTCGGAGGTTCATTTCTAAAATTGTCACAATAAGTGTCATATTCTCCTCAGCCTGATTCTGTGAGGCTAAAATGAAATACCTGTAAAGATAATTTTTCAGAAAGCACAACAATAATGCAAGGTGATATTATTATTATGGAGAGACTATAATGTAGTGGTAGTTGTGCAGGCTCTGGAGCCAGACTTTCTTTTTCAAATCATGACTCTTATTAGATGTTTGACCTTGGGCAAGCAACTTTATCTCTGCATGTCTCAGATTCCTCAACTGTAAAACAGGCCTAATAACAATTCTTACCTCATAGTGTTGTTATGAGGATTAAATAAGATTATACTGTAAAGCACTTAGTACATGGCCCAAGATATTTCAAGTGTTCCTTGCCCTTAAATAATAATATTTAAATATAGAATACAGTATCAAATTTTGAACCACTCTGCAATGCTTGATTCAAAGCACTCCAAGCTTGTTAAACCAAATTCAGGCTGAAATGTTCTGATTCAGATCACGAATGCCCTTATGGAAGAGATTTGTTCCTTTTAGAAAGAGGAGGTCATGAGGACACGGCCTAGGCTACCTGAAATCCCAGCAAATATTTGCAAGTTCCTTGTAAGCTGTGGTAGCATCTTTCTGAACCTGTAAGTTCCAACTGCTCTTAAAGGAATCACTTCATTCTTCCTCCTTCCAGAAATACTTCCATCAGCATAGTGTCATTATTCGATTAAAATGAAAACTCCCCAAATCATGGCACTTTTCAAGACTAAATTCATTTCCACCTTGTTTTGAATTTATGGGAAATCCACCCCCACCTTAGCCCTACCTCTGGGTAATATTTTCTACCATGACAGGGCCTCCCTGGGGAAATTCTAACTGAAGATAACAGCATGGTGTATTAAATGTTGCCAGTATTCCATTTAATATTAAGCATTTGCATGGCAGCCTATTTAAACACCTAAGTTAAAAGTGATACATTAATATTGAGTACACTGCTACTGTGTAAAGTCCATTCTCCTAATGATTTCCAACAAACACCATTTAAGTGCCAACCTACTATTACAAGAGTTTACTATTTTATTCTTGCTCCAAAATGGCATCAACAATGATGGGGTGCTTTCAGGGGATTGTCGAACAGAATTTTTGCAACAAAAGAGCAGGCTTGGGGAACAGCAAATTATCCGCCGTAGTAATTGCAGTGTCTGTGCCAGCGCTCCTCAAAGCCACACGCCCCTCAGCACACAGGCAGCTTTAAGGCATGCGCGATGGCAACTGAAGTGTAACTGACTTCCGCACAACTGGCGGATTTCCTGTCCAAAAAGCACCGTGTGGTCATCTGTAGCTAAACGGTTACAAATCATCAAGTTCGTTAAGATATCCCCGACCCAATATAGAGGTTTAAAAAAAGAGGAAAAAAAGGAGTTAAAGTGACCAAATGCTGTCATCTGCCCATTCACTCTGACTTCTTTTATTCCTTTTCATTTGGAAAGGAAAAAACAAAAACAAACTAAAACCCTTTCTCCGTAATATCTGTTTGTTCAAGGTGTCACGTCCCTGTGAGCTCATTTACAGGGTTTTTGTTTGTTTGTTTGTGTTTTGTCCCCCCCCCCCTCCCCGCTTTGCTTGTCTTGCCTCGTAATTACTTACTGGAGGAAATCAGCGCTTTCAGGACGAGCTGTTCCTTTAACCCCTTTGGCTTGCTCCTCCTTGGAGGCGAGCGAGGCGTGCTGCAGTGTCTGGGAACCCACCTAGAGGGCCCCCTTGACGCCAGCACATCCCCTGTCAGGCAGCAGTCTCTGCAGCCGGTAGGGCTGCTGCAGAGTTAATGTACAGTACCACGGAGCCTGCAAGTGTCCTGAGCTGCTCAGAGCTGGGCGGCACAGCCCAGGGCAGACAAGGCGGCTGCGACGACTCCAAAGGTTCTGCTGGAAATTCGGCGCTGGGGGACCCCAGCAGGAGCCTGTTGCCATTGTGTTTTAAAAGCATGCAAGGTCTGTATGGCTTGGGCATGAGAATCTTTCAGGAGATGTCAGAGCATCAGAGTAAATGACACCTATTGGGGAATTGAATAGGGGACAAAAAAAAAAAAAAGAGAGAGAGAGAAAAGAGAGAGAAAAGGACAGACAGTGGGAAAGAAATTCTTAGACAACGCCTGGCTCACAGCTGGGAAATTCATTTTCTTAACAAGGCAAAATATGAAAAGCCCGCCCATGGTTTTGATAACAACAAATTAAAGGGGCTTCTGCAGTGAAAGGATCAATAGCTTAGTCATTTTACTTAAAGAGAGCAGACAGCCTTACTATGGGGTTAGGCAGCTGAAATGATTTTCTTCATGACAGCACCTTCTGAAGTCAGGATGGTCACTGATGGTTATCCTGCCCTGCAAAGCAGAAATTGCTCATTGCCTTCCTACTTTTGCAGTTGAAAACCAGCAATTCTGTGATTTGGGGAAGAAGTTGGCTTTGGTTATACATGGTTTCTAGCCCCTCTGCCCAGGTCTTTGTCCGACACGTCTCAGAAGGCAGCACTGCGTTAAAGTGACCACACATGAATATGTGCCTAAGAAAGAAGAAAAAGCAATATTCATTTCTAAAGGACAGCATGGCAAAGCAACCTGAAGTTTTCCGTTTCCCTTCTAATACGTCTTTAACAAGGATAACAAGAAACTGTCTTTTGACTCCCTTTTTTCCACATTCCAGAGTCCTTCCTGCAAGGATGCATTAATTTACACTCTAGGCGGTTGGATTTTTACCAGGACAATATTTGCCACCATTTAGGATAAACGAATGAACTGGTTATTTTAGTGTTTTGACTAATTGGTGGAACCTAAATGGATGGACTCATACCTGCAGTGCTCTGTGATGTTTCTTTCTTCAAATCCTGGAAGGGCTTTCGTTGTTGCTATTTGCTTTTTGGGGGGATTTTTTTGGAATTCAATACTTGTTGCAATAATTGCCCATGATAGCTGCTCAGACAGGAGAGTTGGGATTCATCTGTGAAAATCATCTCATGTAACATATGAGACCAGGAAAATATCGATGAGAGAAGATCTGCAAACATGATGCACGTGAATAATTTTCCCTTTAGAAGGCATTCCTGGATATGGTGAGTAATCAATACCCCCTTCAGTTTGTACAACTCAGAATTATAAAATTCCATGTGAAGTGCCAGAGGCAGATTTGTCTTGAACAAGAATATTCGTATGAAGTGAGGATGAAAAGTAAAACATGTTTAAGACCAAATATTGTCTGAGAAAGTAATGGTTATGCAATAACAAATTAGTTGTTAATATAAAAGCATCCCTAAATAAAAGTCAAGTATGAGGACATTTGCAATTGCTAATATTTCACAAAGGAAAAGAAAAACCACAACAACTTTGTGAATGGCAACTGTTTAACTAATAAATAAAAGAAAAAGGGAGGTTTGTGATTTGTTTTTGCTCTTTTGTTTTCTTTTATTTGAAAATTCCCTGGGGAAGGACACATGTATTTCTGATATCTAACAGCAGTTTGCCTGGCCTTAGGTCTTCCTGAATTTCTAAAAGAAGGTTAAGGGAAAACTTAGAATGTTGAATCAATTTTAAAATAATACTAAGATGTGTTGGTGCCTCACATTTGAGGAATATTTTAACTATTCAAGAAACATTTCCACTAGGCAGACTAATTAAATAGAATTCTAACACATGAATCATGAAGTGTTCATACTCTCATAGAACTTGCATAGTGCGTTGATTTTGCTCATATATTACGGTTCAATACAATGTATTAAGGTCCTTGGACATGTGACATCATGTACCATTTTTTATTATTAGAATTTACGACTGAATGTGTATAGGAATTAATGGCTGTGGGTATTATAAGGGCAAAGCTCATTATTTAAAATTGCTTGTTTTTTACCAGACCGTTAGGGTAGACTGGGTTCAACCTCTCACAGCAGAAACTTTGTGAATGCATGATAAAGGCACAATTTAAGGTTTATGGCTACTAACATGGTTTGTTTGGGATACTGCAATGTGTCTACTTTTGGAAGTAAACTTCCCAAGTAAATTTTTTGTCTGGCCTCAGAATAAGGAACAGATATTAAAATTCGGGTTTCTGAGGTTTTTCCAGTTGCTTTTATAACAGTGTCTCCAGTGCAAGCTTTCTGGTGTCCTCAGGCTCCACCAAAACCACTGGCTGCTTTGTTAGGTGTTTTAGCTTGTTTCCTAAAGGTCAGTAACACAGGAGGGTGGGTGACATCGTCCAGCACTCTGGGCAGGTGCTCATATTCTGTCCACACCAGATCCATCCAGGATCGAAGCTGTGGCGTATCTTCTTTCTCTGCTGTCCAGAGCCTCCATCCCCGCTCTCCAGTGTGCTTGGGAGGGAGTCTGGGTGGCCCACTTCCAAGTGCATCACCAGAGTTCCCGACTCAGTGGGAGGTTTGGTGCTATTGCCTTGCTGGTCCTGACGGTGAGGGTCAGGCATCAGCAATAAGGTTCTTGTCATTCTTACAGATCCAGTCACATAAATAGTCTTTAACCCTCAGGTAAAGAGGTCCTGGGAACAGGCCCTGGCACATAGTAGGCATTTCTCAAATATTGTTTTCTATTCATTATAGCTTAATCAAAGTTAATTTTGTACCTATTAAGATTTATTTTGGGGAAAATTTCCACTGTCATTTCTATGAAGTGTATGTTGCTATAAAGCAACAGTTTTTGTTCTGCGTAAGCTCTGTTGTGTGGGTCCATTTGTTTATGTTTCAATTGGGAGGGTGAATGCCTACCATTATAACCACCTATTATTTTGTTGCATTTACCTCACCTCTACTTTCGACTGGAAAGAAATGAGCTATTCAACTCTAGAGTTTTTGAAAGAATGCAAATGTGCTTATTCATGCTTCTCTAGATTTGTAATATATATGTTTGAAAGCTGCATGGGGAAGTTGAGAGTCCTGGTGGTTTTCTTTTGTGCCTGAAGCTAGGAAACCCTCCATGCATTTCACTGCAGGACGTGCCAATTTGTTGTTGTTGTGGCCAAACTGAGCCAATGTGGGGTGTGAGTGCACTGTGTGTCTGTTATTACCTGGGCCCCTTAGAAAGATGCATTAATAAGACGTTGAACTCAAAGAAGGTGGTGGTTTTTTCCAGGTGACCCAGTTAATGTTGTGCTTGGTTCTCAACTTCACCAGTTGTTGTTTTTCTCTTATTTATAACCTCACCTTTCAATACTGCAGTAAGAGATTCTAGGTGTTTGTTGACAGAAAACCTTCTTTTCCTTTGTCCTACTGTAAGAGTCTCTATTGGATTATATTCCATGCTCATGAATTATCGTGCTAAGAAGAAAGGATTTGCCAAGTTGTTCTCCTTTTCATTTCCAAAGACTCCCTTTCCTCATTCTCATATGCAGGCCGCCTCCCCTCCCCCACAAAGGGGCAGATAAGAAGTTGGCAAAAGACCAATCAATGCCATTTTAAAAGAGATGTGTGCCTTGGTTTCCTGAGCTCCAGCTCACCTCTAAGAAGGCTCTAAACCCTTCGGTTAGGATGGACACAGAGGCACGGGTTCTTTTTCTCTTCTGCTTTTTGAGAAGCAAGAAGGAGGGGAAATTGAGATCCAGGGGGTCTAGAATTGTCCTCCAAAGTTTATCAGAGGTAATGGTTCAAGCCTAGGTGCAGGGTTCCTACTTGGACTCTCATCCTCTAGCCCCAGGGCTGGCTGTGTTGGTAATTGAGCAATAGTATTACAAATTCATTGTTTATTGGTTACAAGTTAAAGTTAATGAGTGGTCTGATCACTTGTCTTAATAGAACACTACCCCTTGAGTGCTAAAAAAGTGGCGTGAAGAATGTGCTTTTCTTGTTCAAAGCTACATTAGAAATATTTGCTGGAGGATTTTATTGCGAAGGCTTCTTTCTATTCCACTTTTCAACCTTTTCACTGCCAAGCCAAACAAAGATAAGGGTTTGCCTCACTAGGTAAATAAGTCCTATATAGCTCTTCTTATTTTTTATTCTGGCTAGTTGTGAGAATATAGTGGTAGCCTGGGAATTTGGGATCAGATTTTCCCTTTTGGAAAAAGGGAAATGCAAGTCAGCTTTCTAGGAATTTAAATTTCATTTTGTAGCAATTAAGATGACTCTCTAGAAGCATGATCACATGGGATTGTATGAAGAGGCCTATAAAAAAATGACATAACATAGTGTGCCTAACACATGTTTGTAACTTTTTGCCCTGCTTAATAGATATATAACTACTTTGTATAAAAATATTATAATTCCATGCCAGAAACACCAGGGCCATGTTGAATGCAACTGAATTTTTAAGTTTACATTTATAAAATTCAGGAGGGCATTCTATTTAAATACCTTTGCATCCATTTTATGATGGACTCAAATGACACGGAGAGAGGACAGTGGGGGACAGAGCTGAAGGCCCGGCTGTCCGGCTGCTGTCAGCGTGCTCCTCCGCAGGAACCTGAGGAAGATGTGGGAGCAGCAATGGTGGACGGTGACTAATATTGCTTCTGTGTTGCCTATAATTTCATTTGTTAAAGCTCACACGCCTAAATGCTTTTATCAAACTCTCTTTGTGGCTGAGAGGTGAAATGGAGCAAGAGGCAAATAGGGCGATTCCGTACCTTGGCTCAACATTGAGGCGTCTTCTTCCTTTTTCTAGGCTTCCCACATCTTTTCATTGGACTTCCCTTTCCAGGTTCCCAATATGGTTTAATCTAGCAAGTCACAGTTTGGTTGTATCCTCTAGAGACCAAGGGTTCAACTAATCTACTAACCTGCTTTGTTTTTTTCTTTGATCAAAATCCTTTGTGGAATAAAGCAAGATATAAATTGATATATCAATAACATCATATGCATGTATGTATTTATTTTCATATGTGTTTTCAATAGCAAATTTAATGAATACCTAATCGGAGAAAGGAAAGATGGCCTGCTTCTTCACAAAAGGATAACCCTTCTTATCTTGCCTCTTGAAGTTTCATCCTTCAAGTTTTTCTGCTCTTCATATAGTGAAACTGCAGGAACTCAACCCAGAATTGCATTTTTCAGAGCTTATACTTTGGCTAATAGAATGATTTCACTTCTTTTATGAGAATTTTAGCAGGTTGGAGAAACATTGAGTCTGGTGATTGTGTGATGCATTGAAGGACAAAAATGGATTAAGTCTCATGCAAGATAAGGGAGCTCAGCTCCTCTTAGTCAACCTAAAGTTCTGCCATTGTCTGCTTGTCTTCTAATGAGATTTCAAGTTCTTGCTGAGCTTGCTTCAGGACTCTCTCTTCCTCCAAGGGACAAAACTACCCAGCAATTTTAGAATACAAATACCAACTCTAAGTTTGACTCTGAATTTCTGTTGTGACTAAATACAATTTATTTGTAAACACGATAAAGTTTAGAGAGAGCTCATAATTATAAAAACTCATCTTGTTCACAGAACCCTGGGACTCAGTGTAAAGTCAGTCATTGTTTAAGGCAGAAGTTCATATTTAGATATAATACAGCGAAGAGTTTCCTTTAGATGAAATATTGATCCTGCTAAACATATCATTGTTCTCTTGGCTTTCTATTTTGCTGTCTTGTATTGCCTCTAGCTGTATTCTCCTTAATTCCTTTTAGTAATATCTTGTAATTTTAAGATGAAAATAAAAATTCATATATTTGTTTTAATTTTAAAAATTGATTAAGAAATGGTATGCTAGAGGAGAAAAATTGCCATTTGTGATATCAGTGCTCTCATAACTTATGAAATTAAATATAATTTTAAGTCCCAGCCAACTTTCCTCTGTAGTAAAATTGCACCCTTTAAACTGCTGACAGGATGCGTCTTCCGTGGGCTAAGTGGGTGGCCCAAGCCAGGGAGGGTTTTTAGACAATTCCTACAAAAGGAAAAAAAAGGAAGAAAATATTCTCTATCATGTGAAAATGATTAACTCTAAATTTGGGATGTTTTTCTTCTATTAAATTCTTTACTTTCAACCCCCGTGCTCCCGTACTCCTTTCAGCTGACTATTACTAAGTTACATCCACTAACGCTGCGGTACTTGAGTTCAGAGGAAAACAAGGCAAGTCAGGGGAGAAAATAGTTCAGAATTCTGAGATGAAAATGAATC